TTTCGTGCCAGGCCTCGGCTGCCCTGGCTGAAGGGGGGGTGCGGTTGTCGTCTTGCGCTGAGGGGACACAACTCTGATGCAGAACAAGTTGGCCGTGGTTGCTGGTGGCAGCTCCGGATTTTGCAGGGAGATGTCGGCAGGAGGTCTCCCTGTGACCCGCTCTGGACACGTACCTCTGGATGCGGCTGGATGGGTGGAAAGTTCACCTTCAGCTCAGCTTCAGGAATTTCCCTTTTGCCCAGCTGCTCATAAATGCGGACCTAGAGCTGGAGCCGGGAAGAACAAGAGCCTCCAAGTGACACGGAATGAGCACATGTGCTTAAAAGGGGCGGTTTCGTGGGCATGTCCTCTGCGCGGAGGCAACTTCACGGAGTCCCACCGGGAGGGACGGTCCTGCTTCGAGGAGCTTCCAACCCGCAGTTCAACACCGGGAAAGCGAAAGAGGCAGCCGGGAGGAGGGAGATGCGCGCGTCTGGGCTTCTTAGCGGCTGGGCTAGGGAAGGTTTGGGGCAGGGTTGAAGGAGGGGGCAGTTCCACCCGTGCGGGGCAGAAGGCAGGATGGGCAGCTCTGGGACTTGGGCCGTGGGAGCAGATCGTAGGTCGGCAGAAGCGGCAGAGCCGCAGGGGCCGTGCTGGGAAGCAGGGGTCCCAGGCAAGGGCGAACTGAACGAATCGTGGCGCAGCGGTCACCTTGCATCTTTTAAAGAAACTCGCAGTAACGAGGCTGCTCAGACGCCAGAAAAAAGCTTGAAGGAGGAAGCCAGAGCCTGGGCGGAGACAGATGGTTGGTGCACAGGCAACATCGGTGTCCAGAGACGAGGAGGGGGCTGTTGTCGCGCTTGGAGGGGGCTGAAGGAGCCCCAGCGGAGACAGGTGCTTGGGGTCAGGCTTGCGTGTGCCTGGAAGCAACGCGCCGCTCATGTCGCCCGGCCTCCTTTCGTTCCAGCCCCTCTTCCGAGGTGGCTCTTCTGGTCGGGGCGGGAGCTCCAGCACGTCCTTCTTCGGCAGCGGTGTACCCAAGATCTGCGTGGCTGCAGTCTTCCCTGGCGTGCAGGAAGCCTGCCAGGGCCACGGGTGCCCCCACCCCGCGCTCCACACAAACACGGGAGCCTCAGATGCTCGGTGGCTTCATGCATTTCTCAGTCTCAAGCTGGTCAGAAGGCAGTTCTTGCCTTCCCTCCGAGTTCTCCAGTGTAACAGCCCCATCCCAGGTGCCTCAAATTCACAGCAGGGCCTGGATTCTAGAAGCTGGTTGCAAATTCACCTGCTTGTCGGGCCGCCTTCCCCCTCCGGTACGTGGCTGCGAGAGACAAGGCACTGCGTGCGTGGTTTTCGATCCGTTCTGGAGCCAGATCAGACTCTGGACTGGGAGTGCTTGATAAAGGAAGGCCCCCACCCCCAAGCAGAAAGAGGCAAGCGGCCTCCTGGCCCGGTGGCCCGGAAGTGCGGCGCGAGAGCAAGCTCCTGGGCCTCCTCTCCCGCCCACCCTGTGTCCCAGCCCAGTTTGAGCAGCCTCGGGGCAGAGCGTGGCGCCTTTCCGTTGCCACGGAGGCAGGAGGAAGGAGCCCAAGCCGTGAGGAGCAGCGGGGGGGCTGGCCATTTTTAAGATGAACGAGCTGGACAAAAAGAGCACGTGGCCCATTCATGAAATTTGCACATGGTGCGAGACGCGAAGGAACCTGCACACCTGGCGGGGATGCAGAATTCACGGGGAAGGCCAGAGGCGCGAGTGGTGTCAGCGCAAGGAGCCACGTCGCCCGTAGCTTTCGGAGAGGCGCGCAAGGCCTTGCGCTTCTCCCGTGCCTGGGGAGGCAAGCAGAGGCGAGCCTGGCGCAGGTAGCGGCTCCTTCCGTCTGTGAGCAAGGAGTGCGAGCAAAGAGACTCGGGGCCCTCGTGGGAGCCAGAGCCCTGTGTGCGCACAGCAGGAACTGGCGATGCGCAAGGAAGGCCCGTGGCGGGGGGCCTGCCTGGCCTTTGCCCCGCAGGGGCAGGGGAGCAAGGTCAGTGGCTGAGTGGCAGACGTCCGGGGAAGCACTGTGGCGCCGGTCCACCCTGCTGGTTGTTGCACGGCTGGATCGCCATTCTGAGCCCGCAAGGGAGGCTGGGCGGCAAACCTGAGCACGTCCTGCCGCTTCTGCCTGTGGGTGACCCTGGCATCGCCATTCCGCAATGGTGTGCAGCCGGTGTGCGCTGCATTGCGCAGGTGGAGGCCGTGTGCGTGGGAGAGCCGCATCCTGCACAAGCTGCAGGGGGTGCTGTCGGTGTGCAGGTGGAACCCCTGCCAACGGACAGAGCTGGCTGAGGCGTGGGAACGGCCCCTGTGGTCCTCAAGCTCAGGAAATGCCCTCGGGGGTCCCAAGAGGACGAGACGTGACCGTGCTCAGCGCTTTGATTATGGCACCTGTGGAGCCACTGAGGCGGTCGGAGGGCTGCACCTGAGGGGGGGGGGCTGCCTCCCCCCTCCCCCCCACACGATCCTGACGGGTCTCCGCCTGCATCGGGCGGCCTCTTCGGCTGCCTGGCGGTGCGGCTTGCGGGCGGCCACGTGGCCACGTGCTCTCCCAGCATCCTCTGCTTGCTGCAAGAGGTCGCGACACACACGATTCAGGCCGTGCAGCCAGCCGAGTGGCAGCATTTCCAGAACTTAGGCGTTTGCGCATTTGCATGTTTATGTAACTCGCATATCAGAAGGTGTCTCTCTGCCGGAAAGAAAATGAGGGTATCATGGAAGAAAAGGCAGAGGTACCGGAGCATGTGCAGAAGGCGCTGAGCGAACGCAGGGTTTCATTAAGCCTTCCGTCGTGTCGGAAGTGGCCCTTGGCCATGTGCAAAGATTTAGTGATCCTGTTACTCAGGCCAGGGACTGACGTGGCTTGGCAAGGAGGAGGCCGAACTGCACCTCTGCAAGCGGCTCTGCAGGTGGCTTCGGACAAGCTCCCGTCTCCCGCCAGCACAAAGGGCGCTGCAGGGCCGCCCGTGCGGGGAGCTGGATGGGCTGCGACTGGAGCACGTTCCAGGGCCCGTCCGGATGCCGAGCAGGAGCGCTCTTGCCAGGTGAAGCGTCGGGGCTCCTCTGTCGCAGATGTGTGGCGAGGAGCAGAAGGGGCCCGGCCAGAGCTGGGCTGACTCCGGGCCCCAAAGCGAAGGGCTGTCGGAGGGGCTTCCGTGTGGCCTGCGTGTCCCCGGATGTGGGCTGACCTGGCAGCTCCCCTTCGGAATCGCCCCCCGTGGCCCGGGCAGCACTGCACTCAGGGACTTGTGGGAGACTCGACTCGACCCGGGCCGTGCTGGCCCACGCGGGCGCCTGGGGCCGTTGCCAGCCGGGCCCTTCTCTGGCCCCGCGGCTGGGCGTCCTTGCCCTCGCTCGGGCTCCCTTCCCGGGGCTGCGGTTTCTAGGATTTGGCACCCGGGCGCCGAGGAGTGTGGCACGAATGGGGCGCCTTGTCCCCATTTCGCATTTGCAGAAGTGCAGGAAGCACCCGAGGAGACGAAAGGGCATGAAACCGAAACAGGGACGCGGGTGGCGTGCGTGCCGTCTGCAGGAACCGTGTGCCGAACATGCAAACTGGCCATTGCCAGGCTTGGCGCTGGAATATGGAAGCGATGCCCACAGTTGGGGTGGCCGGTCCGGGCGTGTCTGCAGGGGGAGCTTCAGAGGCCGCCTGGGCTCGGGCAGGACCACCCGGAGCAGCGATGCGCTTTCCACAGGGAGGAGGCTGGAGCGAAAGGGCCTCAGGATGCCACAGGGAGGGTCTGGCTTAAATGCCCCCCAGCTGGCTGTGAAAACAGCCCCCCTTCGAGGGCGCTGCATCCCCCCTCACCCGTCTTGCCGTGGCTGGTGTGCCAGGAGGGCCCTGCTGGGGCCAGTCGCCCTGGACAGGCAAACGCTGGGCTCCGGAAGCACCAACCCTGAACAGAAACTCTCCTCACCATCACACCCCTGGAAACCTGCCCCCGACTTTCGATGTCTTTAGTTCGTCTTCGTTATGGTTCCCTGAGCAAGGAAAGCAGGCTTTGCGGGAGCCGGGCTGCGGAAAGCCAAGCGTTGTGCCTGCGAGTTCAGCCTTCTGCCCGGCTCGTAAGTCAGCTCAGCTCAGCTTTAACAAGTCTGGGCTGCACAAAACCTTTGCTCGAGCCCCCCGCCCCCTCCTATGGCATCGCAGCAGATCCAAGCCGCGCCGAGCGTTGCTGGGCGGAGGGGGCCTCGGGGCCTGGGTGGCGCCACGGGGTCGGGGCTCGGCAGACTCTCCTGGACTGGGGCGGCTCTCTGGTGCCCCTGGAAGCGGTGCGGCTCCGAGCTTGTGGCGCTGTGTGCCCCCCACCCCCCTGCTGCAGCACAGCTGCTTCTGTGCTCATGCTCTCCCGAAGGCCCTGCCAGGCCCGAGCCCTCCTGGACGTCCTCCCGGGCAGAGGAGAGGCTCGGGCGGGCTCCTTGGGAGCCGGCCTTCTTTCCTGCGGCCCCGCCCCACCCGGCCGCCTCTGCCGCCCCAGCTGTCCCAGCCCCACATGCGCCTCAAGGCCATGCTCGCAGGCCTCATCCCCACTTATTCTTCCAATGTGCACTTGAAAAAGTCACCCCGTAATCTGAGGAGCCCTTCGACTCGTGTTAAATGTCCAGGGAAAATGGGGCCTCGATGCGTTAGCATTTCGGATGCTACACGAGACACCCTTGTGCAGGTGAATAAAAGCAGGGGCACCTTGGACGCACCTTGTTGGCCAGGGAACTGTGGACTCGCACGGGCTCTGGAAAAGAGGCCGGCGACAGGGCAGGCTGGGAGGTGTGCTGCCTCCTGAGTTCAGAGCTCTGAACATGCTCCAGTGCCGGGGTCAGCAGTGGTTGGTTCCTCAGTGCCCCAGTCAAGCACTCTGCATATGCGCAATGGCACGTTTACATTCACAATTGCTTCATATGCTTAGGTATTGGAAATAGGCCAGGGGCTGCTGGGCAGCTGTTTTGCTGCTTTGGGTGACCCGGGTCTCCCGTGGGGTCGCAAAGGACGATGGGTCGTGTGTCCAGCTTGCATCCAGGCATCGGCAGCAACACCGCAAGGCCCCTGGGGATGGGCCTCTGCAAGGGCAGCGTGTTGCTTGGTGCCCAGGAAAGCCGCAGCAGCCCAGGGATGGGGGGGGGGCTGCCTGGGGAGGCTCTGGGGGCAGGGGTCGTTCCGGGCAGGATGCTAATCTTCCTGTGTTCTCTCCCCCCCCCCTTTTTTGTCTCCTCCAACGCTGTGGCACCCCGGCGACCCTCTGCCCTGCCCTGCCCTGCCCTGCCCTGCCGTGGAATCCCATGCGTGGCGCCCCCGCTCGCCCCTCGCCGCCCTCCGCATGCACCTGCCCGCCGGCCCGCGCAGGGTGATGCGCCTCTGGTAGCGCCCTGCGCGCCCCCGCCCGCGCTTCGCCCTCGCCCCCTCGCGCGCCGCGCGGCTCACGGAGCATGCCTCTCAGCCCGGCGAGCGGCAGACATGAGACTCCCGAACAGCGGCGGCGGCAGCAGCAGCAGCAGCGGCAGCAGCAGCAGCAGCAGCAGCTCGAGAAGGCGGCGGCGGCAGAGCCAGGGCCAGAGCGGCGGCGGCGGCAGCAGCAACAGCAGCAGCAGCGCGAGCCGGAGCCGGGGCTGGAGCCGGAGCCGGACTCGGACTCGGACTCGGACCCGGACTCGGAATCGGAGCCGGAATCGGAGCCGCAGCCGCAGCCGCGGGAGGAGGACGCGCAGCCGCCGCCTCAGCACCAGCCCTGCGTGGTCAACGGCGACCCCGGGGAGAGCGCGGACGGCAGCCTCCAGGAGGAGACCCTGTATGATACCATCAAGCCCCCCGCCGCCGCCGCCGGCCCCTGCAGCGACCAGCGGGCATCCCCGCCCGGGCGGATGGACGAGCCGGCTCCCAACGCCCTTGTCGTCCGCATCGGCATCCCAGACCTCCAGCAAACGGT